ATGAGGATTACAAACCAAGGTTCTCATTTCTGTTCATAATTTTCTAGTCAGACTGATTGGGAAATTTTGATGAAGTAGAGACGTCCCATTATTAAAATGTGAATGGGGGTGGGGAGTAAAGTTACAAGCATGAAGAAAAGATTCCGTAATGTTTTGTTTTATGAAACTGAGATGTTATTGCATGATTTCAGTCTTTTGAGCAGACATTGGTGTCATACTAATTCCTAACAGGAGACAAAAGGGAATGCTTTTGACCCCGTGATCTATGATGTGGGATTTCAGAGGGCTTAATAGCTCCTTTGCAGAGCTCCTCTTCTGATTCGTGACAACAATACACATTACAATAGGAAAAATTCTTATTGGCACATTTTTTGTGAATTAGTGAAGCAGTGCTCATGATACTGGCATATCTCTTCAGCTCAGGATATGAACTGCATATGTTTGTTGTTTTTATGTCACTAAACTGCTTTTTAACTCGAGTTATTTTTAATTACAACAATGTATAGATTAGCTTTCTCAAATATACAGGTAATCCTCAATTTACAACAGCAATTGGGACTTGAATTTCCATCACTAAACGATGTAGTCTTAAAATGTGGCCACATTGCTTAACTAACGGCGGTCCCTGTTGCCATTGCTAGCAAAATTACTAGATGAGGTAACTTACTGCTAGCTTCCCACAACCAAGACAGTAAGGAAGCTGGCAGGATGGTGCAAGTCCCAGGCAATTTGCAAGCAGGCTGGCAGGTAAGTGCCTGCTGCTGGGAAGGAGGGAGGGGATGAGAGTTTGAGGGAGGTGGGCAGTTTGGGGGAGGGTATACAAAGATGCAAGAGAGGTGGGGCAAAGGTCTGAGAGGGAGAGTGTTGAGGTGCATGGGAGTGCACAAGGATGCAAGGGAGATGTGATGAGGGTCAGAGAGGGTGCATGAGGATGCGAGGGGGGCAAGACAAGGATCAGGGAGGATGCACAAGGGTGCATGAACGGCTGGCACAGGACAAGCACAGAGAGGCTGAGGCAGAGTGTGTAGGTGGGGGAGGTTTACCCCAGCAACTTGCAATCTTTCCTGCCAGCTGGTCCTCTGACTTTCTGAAAAAGGTGGCAGGAAAGGTTGCAGATGGGGACCATCATGTAATGGCAGGGTGCTCCAGCTGATTGTAAGTGCAAATCAGTTGCCAAGGGCCCGGAAAATGACCGCTGGGGTTTGGGGATGACTGGAACTACAAGGACCAGTTGTAGCCACCATTCATTCACTTCTGTCACAACTATAAATGGTCATTGAACAGAATGGTCATAAGTCGAGGATTAGAACTCTCTGTAGAACTCTCCCGGTTTTAAAAACAGCTTGGACTATTAACATTTTAAGCAATGTGATCTCATAACTTGTCCTGCAGGCAGAATGAACCAAGAATATGGTAGAAGATATATAGGATGTGGTTGCTTTTCTTTTTGTAGAATGTGGATAATCTGTTTGCTAGCCATTATAAATGCAATCTTCTTGCACAGAGCATAGGACACAAATAGAAAAGGCCTTATCAACAGATGAATATATTTCAAATTTTACAAGTAATTGTGATGTTCTTGCAAAATGCAATCCATATTCCTCATGTGGCTGATAGGACTAATAACAAAAATACTGTTTTAGGTTATAAGATACCATCAAGTTCAGTTTAACATCTGGTAGTGTTAGCATCCTAATCTGTCATTAGTAATAATTTGTAATTCTCATGAAATTTCATGGGGGTCTTTTATCCAACCATCCACCTTATGTTGTTTTCCTTTAACTGTGCCAATCATGACAACTATTTTCCAAAGGCTATTAGTAAATTAATATGCTGTTTGTTTGTTTGTATCCCAAACTTATTATTTTTACAAATAATTCAAGGTGGTGAACAAAATCCAACACACCTTCCTCCTATTTTCTCCACAGCAACAATCCTGCATGGTGGGTTGGGCCAAGGGAGGGTAACTGGCCCAAGGTCACCCAGCTGAGGATCACTTACCACCCTTTCTGGTTTTTCAGGGTGGGGTCGGTTGGGGTTATCAGCTGGGCACAATTCTGAAAAAGCAATTATCCAGCTTTTATTTTCTAAACAGAATGTGGCCATACACACAGAATTCCCATTTATAAAAAGAGAATAAAAGGGATCAGAGATAGTTTAATAGCCACCACAGAAGGTGCCAGTAAACAGACTGCTGTCCATTGGCATTTCCTTTGGTGGATTTTGCACAAGTAAAAATAATACCTCCCCTTTCTAGTTTCTCTGCTAACCTACTCACTATTATGGGACTTGAGTTATTGAAGGCGCCTATTTCCTAAGAGTGCAATTCTATACAGTACATAATGTTAAGAGTGTAGGCAACTAGTGCCATCTAAAGGTCTGTTTGAAAAATTTAAAATGGTTAAAAAGCAGAGAACTCTATGGTATAAAATTGGTGTTTTGACATGAAGCTCAACATGTTTTGGCTAAAATCCTTATACAGGATTTCCCGGCTGAACAGGGATTTGGATTTGGCTTCCAATAAATTAAATACAGTAGTAATGGCAAACACAAGTACAAGATTCACACATTGTGCCAAGTATCCAGGGATACTTGAATAAATTATGGCATTCTGGTTCACATCCCATAAGCCATCATTTAGAGAGTACAGTGGGTAGGTTCCCACATGCTGCTAAGCCAAATAAAGCAAAATTACTGTAATATGATTAATTGCAGTATGTGAAAGCAACAACATTCCTTTTACCACCATAATGTTTGCAAAATCAGTTCTTCTGATAATCTTTGAACTAGGACAGACCTTCATTGCAAAGCAGTGATGGACCAAAGGCAGTCATGAAATCAGGGAGTGTGCTCTGGGCAATTTTGTACTTTGTATCAATAGAAATTAAATTATGAATAAGAACCAAGCATCTGTTTCACTGATAAAGTTTTACAGCGGCTTATGAATAAGATTTTCCAATTTAGAGAAATTAAGATATCAACCTTCATTTCAATGTTGGTGCCCAAGTAAAAATAGGGTCATTATAGCTGATCTGCAAAAATCCAGATAATCATTAGAAGACAGTAAAGATATAGTATCTTCATATCTCTTTGCTACCATTTTATAATTACCTGTATCTGTCTAGTTATGTAGCCGTACTGAATGCACCTGGAGAGGTAGAGAGAGGAGTTGTATGGGTTGCCTTCTAGCTTCCACTTACTGCAGAAAGCTTCCCATCTGCAGAGCTGCAAGGGCATCTGCCCTGGCTCATACAAAAATGACATTGCAGCACTTTAGTATAAGCTCTGCCTTTTTGTATGAGCATTTGTTTCAAACATAGTTTATTATTAGTGGTTATTTATTATTTACCCAACTAACTTTTGCAACCCAGCCAGCTCAAAAGACTCCAGGCTGCTAATATCCAAACAGGAAAACTCATAAGTTAACAGCAACAACAATAATGCTCTTTATATAACAATAATAATACAATAAGCACAAAAGCAGAAACAACAGTTAGAATGTAACTAACTGTAATAGTTAGAACAAATCAAAACTCTCAAGCCCCAAATGCTCTCTTAAATAGCCAGTATTTTGTTGCTCTACAAAAAATATAGGAATTGAGGGGGGAGGCAGCCATATCCCATAGGGGAGAGGACAGTTGTGGAAAAGGCTTACTTCCAGTCCTAGCTATTTTGTTTTGCTGAGGAGAAGAAACCCAGTGCTCCTTTACAGCTGGACTGAACAAAACGGGATATATTCTTTAGGGAGCAGATGGTCCCATTGATAACCTGAACTTAAGTTGTGTAAGTCTTTATAAGTAATAACCAGCAACTTGAAATGTACCTGGAAACAGGTAACCAGGGCATCCCTTACACCACGTGACATGTTGCGACGTATCGCAATTTTTTTGCCATTGCCGGCAATGGGGTGGGCGCAGTTTTGGAATGATGCATCCAGCCCGTGGGCCGGCAGTTTGACACCCCTGCCTTACACTATCAATATAATGCTTCTAAAATAGTTTTTATCTAGGATCATTGAATTTCCAGTAGCCTTCAATGGAAGTCACAGATAGAACATATTTAGTGGTCCGTCTTCAAAGTAGTAAGAGCTATGAGCAGCTATCACTAAAGCCACCTGTTCTCAAAAGCTGAATCTGGTCAAATCCCCTTCTCCAATCACATTCTCCACCTGTGGTAGAGACATGAATCTGGGAGGATGACATGTTGTTTACCTTCCATTTCAAGGTGAAAGCAACCTTACCCAGAATTTAAGCAAAGGGGCCACTAGAAACTCATGATTTCTGGACAAATAACTATTCTGTCTTGTTGGGATTCAATGTCACTTGTTTCATGCATGTCTTCATTTAAGAGGCAAGATGCAGAACATCCATAGCCTTCTGCCTGGTCCTGGGTAGGTATCATATTTTGATTGATTCTGTTGATGATATCTTGCCTTGGGCCAGGCAAAAGAATCAATTGCTAACTTTCTCCAGAAGTTTCATGAAAATGTTAAGTAAAATGAGAGAAAACATTGTACAGGCCAATATCCCATTTGGAACATTCTTCTTTCATTAATATTGCAAAATGTTTAGCAGACCTTTCACAATAGACTGGAGAGATGGAAGGACTGAAATCGCCTTAAGCATAACTGATGGAAGATGTTCTGCTGATGCTGTGGCATTTCTGTCACTTCATCTCTCAGATCTCCTTGGTGAAAAATGGAATCTCTTGGCATCTGCTGACAGGAGAAGCCACTTGTGGCCACAGCTTGTCCAATACTTTCATCATCTCTATATTTTGATGATCAACAGGAGATGTGGAAGAACTACTCCCTAATGAAATGCTGTGCAGACTTCTGACTGGACATTAGTATTAAACTCACACTAAACTTTGCTTTAAAGGATACCATTGTAATCCTGCGGTTTTTATAAAGTGCAAAGGCAGATGTATTCATTACTGTGCAGATACACCTTGTCTATTTTCAGTAGTACCTGAAAACTTTTGTGGATTGTTGTTTACAGGGCCAACCAGGACTGCTTGGACAGCAAGGATTCCCTGGGCCATCGGGAGTGATGGGCATACCAGGACTTTCAGGGCACAAAGGGGACAAAGGTGAACGAGGTAGACCTGGCATAACTGGACCCAAAGGAGAAGTGGTAATTTTATAACTTCTAAGAAATCAACTTCAGTATGAAGAACAAATGCAACGAAGTAGGAAACTGCATCATCATGTGTCCCTTTTCATTATAGGGACAAAGAGGAGTCACAGGGTTTCCCGGTGCAGATGGAATTCCTGTAAGTAACTGTTTGTTTCTTGTATTGAATTTGAAAGTGTTATGATAGTCTTTCCGGTAAATAATTCAAGTTATTATAAGTAACCAAATAATGCATATGATAAAATAAACAGCTCATTTTTTTTCTCCAACCAAACTCAGACTAGTATAAAATTAAAAATCAGCATAAAAACAAAAACAAAACCATGTTTTAAAAAGTTATTTAAACATTGGCTGAAATAAATGTTTTTCTAGCTGTTTATACATAGATGATGCTGATGAATTTTCATGGGGCACAGTCCCATGGTCTTGATGGACCGGATCCTTGGTCTCAGGAATAGTCAGAATAGAGAGCAGAGATTAGAATTAATATTTTGCACGCTGAAGAGAAATCTGTTTAACTATTTATTTAGTTGATTTATATAGCACCCATCTCACTTTTATGTGACTTTATGTGACTCTAGTTAGCTTAAAATAAAATAACACAAAATATAATCCAGGAACAAGTACAACTGATGCACAGCTTTCAGTTCAAAGTGCAAAGGCCTGGGCACGGTTTCTTCCTGCTCTTTGAGAATCCAGAAGGACCCTGAGTTTATGCACTGAATCTGTCTAGGGCAGTACCACCCCTATCAGAACCAAAGATGGAAGGTCCTCAGAACCAGGAGCTTCAAAAATCCAGAGCCACCTGGTCTTGCTTGAAGTGAGCTGAAGCCTGTTGCATCCCATCCAGGCCTCTATAGCTTCCAGACACTGAGACAGAACTTCCACAACATCACTCAGACAACCTGGGTAGAGATGTAAAGCTTGGTATCACTGACAATATTTTATTCCAAACTCACCCAGCAACTTCATGTAGATGTTAAATAGGAGGGGAGAAAGCTGCAAGCCCTGAGGTATTTCACAAAGGAGGGGTACAGCCTGGATATAAGGACCCTCCTCAATTTACATCTTAAGAAAACAGAACTCTTGGAACGTCTCTTCCAACAGGAATTTTTATTAAGAGAAATTGACTGCAGGCATGCTAGACAGGATCTGAGGGATTCCCCCCCCCCCACATACCATTCAATGTTTTAAAGTGTTCCCAAGCAGCCTCCACCCCACAATTCTTCCGGGCAATTCAGTCTGGTAGATTTCTAGGTGTTAAGTCCAGTTAATATATTGTCAGTCCGCTCCATCGGCACGATCACTCATTCTCTCCTTACCCAGATCCCAGGCGTTGCATTTCCCCCCAGCCTTTCCCTCGCTGCCGGTAAAAGGGAGAAATTCAGAGGGAGTAGGATGAAAGGCAGATGGCTGCATTGTTGGAGTCAAGCTATTCTCCAAAGCACCTGAAGGCAGGACAAGAAGCAACGGATGGAAACTAATCAAGGAGAGAAGCAACCTAGAACTAAGGAGAAACTTCCTGACAGTTAGAACAATTAACCAGTGGAACAACCTGCCTCCAGAAGTGGTGAATGCTCCAACACTAGAAGTTTTTAAGAAGAGACTGGAAGTTTTTAAGAAGAGACATTGTCCAAAATGGTGTAGGGTTTCCTGCCTGAGCAAGGGGTTGGACTCTATGACCTCCAAGGTCCCTTCCAACTGTAGTAGTAGTAGTAGTAGTAGTAGTAGTAGTAGTAGTAGTACTCTCGAAGAGAATCAACAAAAGGTTACTTTGTAGTTAATGGAGGAAGTGAAAGTCATAAAAACCCCATGCTTACCCTCCTCCCCCTTAGTAGTATGACAGAATCCAGAAGAGAGTAAGAATTGGTTTTATCAGTGCTTTTTTTGTAAAAAAAAAAAAAAAAAAGTGCCGGAACTCACACATGTCATACAATCCGCCTTGCCTACCCTACAAGGTTCCATCCAAAAAAGATGCCAGAACTCCGTTCTGGACGTTCTATGACAAAAAAAACCCCTGGGTTTTATATCAGAGTAGGTAGATAGAAATGAAATATAATTGGATTCTGACACTGGATCTCTTTACCCTGGAAACCAACCTCGGAGGAAGGAGGAGAACCAGCACAACACCCCCAACTTCTGAAGCTGTTCTAGAAGCATACTGTGATTGATGCTATCAAAAGCTGCTGAGAAATAAAAAAAGAAAGAAAGATCACCAACCCCCCCCCTCTCCCACCAGAGCTCATCCAAGAGTGCTATCAATGCCATCTCAGTTCTATACCCAGACCTGAACCCTGTCTGAAAAGGGTCCAGATTATCCACTTCTTCCAGAGTACTTTGAAGTTGTAATGCAATAACCTTCTCTATAAATTTCCCTAGAAAATTGTCCACAATGGTGAGGTATAGCAATATGGTCTTGAAAAGCGTTTAAACAGAAAACCATCTGTGTAAATTATAAACATCTATTACTTCACCCTTTGCCAAATTCTGGACCTGAGAGCCGTGAGCAATAAAGGGGAAGCATTCTTAGGCTAGTACAGTTTCTAACTGTTCCTTTACATAACGTAATAAGCAAAGTGCATTTATTCCTAGACGCTTTCACAGAAATCCCCAGACAGATTTCCCAGTACCAGCTTCCTCTTCCATGCCCTTTGACACCAGTCCATTTTTACCACCCACATGCACCAATAAAACAAAATTCCAAATAGCTATTTTCAGCTGCTCGACTCATTCATCCACCCTTCTAATGTGTTTTGCAGTGCGGAACTAAAGCTAGAAAATCCTTTTCTTTTTCCACGTGTGGATGTTGCATTAATTTTCATGGGACTTGCCTTCAGGCAGCAAATGAAAGGGAATGTAAGGTCATCTAAGGAAAAGCAGCCTGCAGATGCTGCAGGGTCTATCCTGAAGACAGAGAAAAGGAAAAAGCAAAGCCAGGTGATTTTATGGGCAGGGATCACACAGGTTTAATATTCACATGTTCTGGAAAATAAGCCTTTAGTAATTTTCAAGTATGAAGCACAATGGAGGATTCATTTATCATATATGATAAGCTAAATATAATTTTCTGTTTTTTTACCCCAGATCCCTTTAATAAGAATAGCACATAGCTTAGATAAGCACAGAGGTGCCAGAACACTCACCATCATTCATTCTTTCCTTGTTTGGCCCTTCCTGGAGATTTCTTCGAGCATAAAATGCTTAGTAGCTGCTTAAGATAAATGTCTTTAGGAAACGAACAGAAGGCATAGTTAGATCGTCTGTTTTTACTGCTTCAAAATGGTTAACAGTATCATGCAACATCCAGACAGGGACATTTGGAATTAGAGTTTTTGACATAAACTTTTTGCAGTCTGAAAAATTCCATTTTGAGCTATTCCAGAGCTTTCTGAATTCAAGGTTGATTCTCTTCTTTCTCTAACCTATCTTCCCTGTTTTGAGGATTTCTCTTTCTGGAAACCAATGAGCACATGATCTGAATATCATTTTCTGTTGAGTAGAATTGAATTTGTATAGTTGTCTGCTCTAAGAATGAGTCAGCAAGCTAAAAAAAATCCCTTACCCTTTTCCAAGGAAACTCCCAGGAATTTTTAGATTTGGCGGTAAGCTAAATCTGTGAAAAAAGAAAGTATCCAATAATAACTCCTACCTTCTGTAACTATTTCTCATTTTCTCTTATACAATTTGATATTAATATCAATGGGAATAGCAAAAGTATAAATCAACTATGAATAAAATTTGAGCCATTTATTTTTCTTTGGCAAGAAGGATAATTGATGAAATGTATTATTGGCTCTTTTTCTTTCTCAGTTCTGATGCACCGACTTAAAATTACAATAAAATACCTGCATGAGAGATGAAGGTATACTAGAATAACTTACTTTCATGAACAACTTATAGCATAGTTATGGAAATCATTTTCCACCACAGAATTAGGATAGGTAATGGCATATCAATAGTATTCATACACACATTTTAATGATACTCATTTGCTAGTAGATATTTATCATCACATTTTTAAAAAATCCTCTCCAATATTCTAAAACTATGTTGAAAGACATTTTTAATAATTTAAAAACCCCTCCCATTCCTATAATACTTAAAGCAGTATTTAAAATAATTTTCAGAGATTAAAAAACCTGAACAAATTCTCAAGGCAGGTTTTTTTAGCATAATATCATGCAGCCAGAAGATACTTCCCCACATAGCACAACACAGTCACTCTGTGGTTCCAATGGGGTTATACCTAATGAAGAAGCGCCTTTCATACTCTGTTGCAATACCTAGTCTGCTGTTCACAGGACAGTGATTTACTTGACAAGATATCTAGAGTGCTGGATATGTACTGTATGGACCCAATGACACTGACTCGTTATCCTCTCAGGACTTAATGACTATAGGGGAGAAAAGGGTTCTCGATGGGGAATTAAGTATTTACTCTCCTTTATCTATCACTCTTGATTTAAGGTGTTGATAACTTCAGGTCACTCTCTTCTGCGTTTGATCCAAGCACACATGGGTCTATGACTTTTGTCCTGGGAAAAAATAATTAGCTTGGTGCTAAACTATGTACTGTATTTCCTGGAAAAAGATCTCATTTTTTATTATAATTACTAAACTTACTTCACCACACATTTGTCAGGTGAGGTCATGCATATACAGAATGCATCAACTTCCAAAAGGTTACATAGAATGCAGCTTCAGTAAGGTCTTCTTATTCACTTAAAGTCATATTTAAACTGGATTTTAATTACCTTAGCTATTTGAATAAAAGGAATGCAAAAGTATTAAAAATGTGCTATTCCTCCCTACCTGTTACCTATGCCTTCCTGTTTCTGCTGATATCCGTATTGCTGTTTCTAGTTATTTCTTTTCATATTTCCAGAGGTGTATGGTTTGAACTACAGAATAGTATTCTTAGTAGAATAGAATTAAATATTCCTTATTTGACTCTATTTTCCCATAGAGTGGTTGTTTGCATTAATGTAAGAACATTTAAGAATTCCATGAAAGCCAAGAAGAAGAAAGCAAAAGCAGCAGGTCAGCAGGTCATAATTGTATATATTTTGTCTCCACAGGGTCATCCAGGTCAGGCAGGATCAAGAGGAAAACCAGGCCATGATGGTTGCAATGGGACCAAGGGAGATCCAGGTCCACAGGGAATTCAGGGACCTGCAGGAACTCCCGGGTTTTTTGTAAGTTATGAACACTGAATATGTCAATGTAAAGCTACTGCTGCTTAACAGCAAAATCAGGAGGAGTTTGTTCCCTTCCACTAAGTGAGAGAAAAGAGTTTCCATTGCTGGAAGAACCCTAGCATTCTTGCTAATCTGCCACATTAGGATTATAGGCTGAAGTCCTACAAAAGCTGCATTGCCTAAAGCTGAAACATAATTACCGTTTCAGAAGGAAATTCCACGTTGACTAGTAGTCATTTTGGAAAACTTTGGAGTTCAGTTATCCTATGTGCTCATGTGCTGTGAAAGTTGGACCATAAGAAAGGCTGAGCACCAAAGAATTGAGGTCTTTGAACTCTGGTGCTGGAGAAGACTCCTGCGAGTCCCTTGGACTGCAAGGCGTTCAAACCGATCAGTCCTAGAAGAGATCAACCCCGACTGCTCTTTAGAAGGCCAGATCCTGAAGTTGAAACTCAAATACTTTGGCCACCTAATGAGAAGGAAGGACTCACTGGAGAAGGGCCTAATGCTGGGAAAGATTGAGGGCAATAGAAGAAGGAGACGACAGAGAATGAGATGGCTGGATGGAGTCACTGAAGCAGTAGGTGTGAACTTAAATGGACTCCAGAAGATGGTAGAGGACAGGAGGACCCAGAGGAGCCTTGTCCATGGGGTCGCGATGGGTCAGACACAACTTCACAATTAACAACAATGTGCTCATAATATTAGTACATTAGTTGAGGACTATGATTGATTATGATGAAAATTACAGGCAGAGGGAAAGCCATAATAATTTACAGGGTTTTTTTTAAAAAAGGGGGGGGGACTTCCTGCTTTGTTGTTTTGAGACACATTAATAAGGCTGCAAGAATACTTGTTCTTTCTGTGCTGAAAGGACTTGCTCAATTTCACAGGGATATAAAGTGAAGAAATAATTAATTTTCCTCTTGTTTAGTGAGCAGCATCTGTGAAAACAAGATATCTTGTTGAAGTGCCTTTTGGCAAAACCACCACAACAATGAGCACAACAATGTTGTTCAAAGAAATAGAAGTGGAGTTGGATCAGGGATCATCTAAATTTATAGAAACAGCTTTGTTACTTTGAAACAAAATTAGATGACATTTGAAGATGTATTTGCTCATTCTATGAAGATAACCCATTTTAATTTTAAATGGGGGAAAGGGTTTGATTGTGTAAACAAACATCTTAATTTACTAATGGATCATAATTAATTTTACATAGAATGGAATGAGTCATTGGAGGAGTTATGGTGGATGGAATATTGAGTATCTAGAATTTTTGTATTATTCTGAGTTCCTTTATAATGAGGGAGATGGTTAAGGAAGTTCTTTTATTTATTTCTTTTTCAGCTGCATAAAGGTTTACTTCACAGCTTTCATACGTCTGAAGCCCAAGGGGTAGAATGGTATACTTTAGCAGGGTTCAGAACACCAGGGGTTTTAGTTCAGATAGCAATTTTATTTGCACAACAGAAAGGCTTGAAATATACAGCAGACGTTAATTCCTATCTACAGGCGTCCCCATGGTGAGATTTTCTGAGGGCAATCAGACACAGAAGCATCATTGTGCATCTTGAGTCATGGGACAGCTTGGGCTTTTCTTCAAGCACGTACAGGGGTGCAAACATGTTCTAGGGCTTACAGTTAGAGGAACAGTAGGATTTTGTGCTTCCCTGCGTGACATGCTTTCTCAAGATCTAAAAGTCCCCAAATGCCATGTTGTGCATATGGACAGAGAGGGACAAAGAACCATGTTACAAGGGATGGATACCAGGGATATTGGAAGCAAGCCAAATTTCACAAAATATATATATTTTATAAACATTTTCTGTCCATAAATAAAATCATGGAGACACACAAGGAAGTGAAACAAAATATACTCAAAAAAGGGGAAGGAATGTTCAGTTTTTCTCAGATTAGGTAAAACAGGACTTCAGTCTGGCTTAGGCAATAGAGAAATTGTGTAGATGAGCAACAACTAGAGGAAAAAGATTCATCACTTTTATACCATTTACTTGCTTATTAAAAGTAAAAATTCTGCAGTCTCCAGACCTTTGGATACTTGCACTAATTAAATATTTTAAATAAAACATTGTATTATTTAAAAAAAATAAAATTATATATCAATCATACCAAGCATCCTAACATCCAAGCCAATGCCTCTGAGAAATCAACTGATGAAGAAATACTGCCAGTCAGTTATGTCAGTACCACTTCCACAAAAAAAGGACAAAAACAGAAGCAACTGCATAGACTTACACAGTCTGATTTGTACTTTTTCAAACAACCAGGCTTATACTCTAAATTGACAACATATACTCTAAATTGACAACTCTGCAATAATAATAATAAAGTTCTATTTGTTGCAAAGCTAGCAAAATCAATTCCAAAAGATTTTAGTGAGCAAAGGTTTTCTAATTTTCTGGTCAAATGTAAGTTTCAAGGGGACAGTAGTTATGAAGAGACTTTTTGAAACCGTAGCAATTAAGCTCTGGATTGTTTTTTTTTTTTAATATTGCTTATTTTCTGAAGGCAGATTAATGTGAAGAAATGGTGTCAACTATACATACATATATACATACATACATACATACATATATCAAACCTCTTGAACATGAACTGCATAAAATATAAAAGTTGCTACTGTCAGTGGACATGGAGAAGACAAATGATGCTGAAAAAAAATATAAATAGAGGTTACTTGTATTGGTTAGTTAGCCAGCACAAGTTGTGAGACACCATCTCTGGATTCCTGGATTTGCCTACCTAGGTGTGCTTCAGTTGCAAGGACATTAGGACCAGTTGTGCCTATAAAGTCATAGGGAACCCACAAGGAGAACCATGGAATTGCTGACTAGGTCTATGAAGTGCCCTGTAAGTGGCACATCCTAGTTGGGCTGATTATTGTGGTGCGGCAGGGGACACAACTGCAAGTTTGTACTGGAAGAAAAGACTATCTCTGATCTCATAATAATGGGAAAATGTTTTCCTCTTTTTCAGTCATTGTTTTCAAGGGAACATAATCTGGACCCTAAAAGTGGTGTTGCCAATCTCTAATTTACTGCAGGTTTTTCAGTTTGGAAATGGGCTTTACATGGCCCAGTTTTCTCCACTCTCTTCTCATTTGGATGGTTTAGAATAAGCATAGAACAATCTGCATTACCAGCACCTCACATGATCCTTCAACCTCTCTTTTGTAGTGTCAGTGAATTTTATGTTTTTTTTTTTTTATAATTAACCCTTGGAATAATTTCCATTGCTAACTACCATTCATATTTTCAGGAATCACATATAAATTATGATGTAAATCCTAAAGTTGTCTTAATGATCCCCAACCTCCAAAATAGTAGAAAAATTCTGCTTATACCCAGCATTTGAGATAGTCCTGTAAAATTCTCAAGAAAGAGAATGATATATTAGAAGTGAATTTGGAGTTCTTATAATCCAACACCCAGTTTAGTGCAGGAATCCTCAGACAATTCTGGACAAATGGCTGATTTTTTGTTATTTTCAATCACTTTAGGGAATCCAGGGACCCAAAGGTCAGAAGGGGGAGCCTTTTGCACTACCTGAAGAATTAGCTATACAGTTCAGGGTAAGTCTCTGTGAACAGTTATAATCTGTTAGAAAAGTTATGTTTTCCTGATCATCTTCAATTAAGTGCCTCAGATGTTTTCATATAAGTGAAAAACTATAATTTTCTTAATTTGTCAGCTTCTTTTATCAAATACAGTCTTGCAGAGGCTATACTAAAGTTTTGCTATATTTTTTCTTAGATTTATTATATAGCTATCATAAATAAGCAGCCACATTGTGGTTTTCATTTATAAAACACAAGACATTTTTTTTTAATTTAAATAGAAGCATATCTGTATGCTCTTTGAAGTTGCTGAGTCGAAACAAAGTGAAGCAGATATGATTCTTTCATTACGTCTGTGCATAAGTGTATGTGTGTATATATACATACAACACACACAAACATACACAAATAACTTTTTTCTTTTAGTTATAAATGTAGATTTCATTGTATTTACGTTGTACTTATTTTTCTAATCACTTTTAACTTTCAGATTTTACAAATAATTATAGAGGTTTTTTGTAAGAAATCTAGACATCTGAGAGTTTTAGAAATAATTCCTTACAGATTCCATAATTCCTTCAACAATCACAGAGCACTTAATGTACTGTATTCACTGGAAAAGTTGGGATACCTTCAGAGATGCATCTGCCTTGAAAATAGCCCATGTTGAACTGTAAAGGATAGTCAAGCATTAAAAAAGGACATTTAATTTTATGTCATAAACTGTTTTATGATAATTTTTATGCTATAAAATGTTTTATGAAATTTGTCAAATTTCAATTCCATGGTAATAATGGCTCCTGGATTTTGTTCACATTCTGTAAATCAGCCCATTTGAGGTATCTTGGATTAAAAATTGTTGCCCTGTGATGCACCATTTTGCTCAGTTTAAGGTTACAGGAATAAGAATTTTAGTAGTATAGAAAAGTTTATGTTCAAGTTGACTAAAAGAGCATTTCCCATTTTAAATTGTTCTTCTCTAGGGAAATCCTGGTGACCCGGGCTTGATTGGCTTCATTGTAAGTAACATTGGGATAGATAAATTTCTATAATAAAACTAGCTATCAGTAAAATAAAAGAAAGCACAATTATTATTTTGGGAAAAAATATTTTCATTTACAGGGACCTCAAGGTGCTCCTGGACCGGTGGGTGAACCTGGTCTAGAAGGAGACTCAGGTCTTCCGGTAAGTATTATAAGATTCTGAGATTATGACAGTAGTTTGACATTCTTTATTGTGGCCAACAACTAGAAAATGTCAATAAAACAAGTAGTGAAACAATAAGACAATAAAATAAAACTCACCAATAAAGCAGAACAATAATAAAGCGACAGAATTAAAAATTAAGAAACAGTAATAAATTCTTGATATGCACTGTACTCAATGGAACAAAATTGCACAACATTGAAAAATACAATATTGTGTTATTCTGATTGGATAATAATTAGTGAAAATAAAATAAACATGTGTGGCTTAGGAACTTGACTGAAAGAAAATTTATAAAATATGCAGTTATCATGGTTAAAAGCACACACTATAATAAGAAGACTGACTTATATAGTGCCTCTAGCTTGTGCAGACAAAGCTGGCTACCTTTCTTAAATCAATTTCCAGTACTGGTCTGGATATCATACTGAAATGTGTTGATGATAAAGCTTTTCTAAATACTGATACTGTGAAATGATTTAAGTATTTAACAGGCCCGATGCTCTAAAGATAAATTTATAAAATTGTGGAAGGTCAATGCAAGTCCTTAACCTGTTATCTTGGTGCTAACTGATCAAAATTCATTTATAATAGAATTTCTTGAAAGAAATGGTAATAATGCAGCATTTGCTCTCTTTTCCATTTAATGCTAATGGAACTAGACTTAAAAGTAGGAGAATATGCTTAACCCATATCCCATCCAACCCAAAACTAAGAATAGTTTTATTTATTTATTTTTATATATTTCACATTTCTCTTTTTCTCAACTGCCAATTTCCCTCAGATGCAATTATTTATAATGATTGCAGAGATAAAGAATTGATCTTGAAATGATGATACCCAATTTCTGTGCTCTTTACAGTATATAATTCAGAGATGCCCACTGTCTGCTAGGGCAGGGCTTGAAAAAAACTTTTTCACAGATTGTACCACTTTTAGGACATGACAATATTTGAGTACTACCAGTGCTTTGCAAGGTGTCAAAAACTTGGTGACTAAAAAAAGGGGTGGATTTTGGGTTTTACTGATTAGATTCATTTGTTGTTATAGAAATGGCTAGTTTATAATATTATGGAAAACTAAAAAGTTGAAGTTCAATGTTAATGCTTCCTTCTACTGCAACAGAGGAAGTCTGTTCTTTTTCCCTAGTCCCCCTTCACTTTCCCCCCTTTTTTCCTCCCCACTGTATCCTACTATTTGCTTTTGTATTTTTGTGGGAGATGGTGGTGTTATTTTACTAGGATTATATGCTACTCCAGTCACTGCTAATTCTGAGCAGCTTAAATAACCCCTATCTGTAAGCAGGATTAAAGCAACATAAATAATCAGCACTTACAATAAAAATTCTGATTGTTTCCATAACAGTAGCATATTCACACCAACATCTCCATGCACCAGGAAATTATTAAAACTCAGTTAAATCTGCACTACCACTGTAAAAGAGACTATGTAGTCTTGTACTATTTAAGCCAAACTGGGTCTGGGCCAGTACAGCTGCATCATTTACATAAAGGAATATTGCAGTGGAGCATCGGTTTGAAGGGAGGGTTTCCATTATTTCAATGTTGTGAGGAGTGGTCACATCCTCACAGATGTCAGCTCCAAGTAACCAAGAGGATATATGACATATATGAAATGTGGATTTTCACAAATTTTAAAATTTCCTGATTTCCTGCTATTTAAATAAAGTTTAACAAGCTTATAATTTAATAAGTAAAATAAATAACTAAAAATTAAATATTTATAACATGTTTTTAGGATTTTCTGGTTTTGAATGTATATATTTTAAGTAGACTTAGTAGGCAGTGTGTGAAGTAACTGATGCTGCCCCATGTATTTACATGAATTGAATACTTCTAAAAGATTACTTGGTTTCTGAAACATTCTTTTTAGGGACTTCCAGGACCCCCAGGACTGCCAGGGCCCATTGTAAGTATTTGAGGACTCACCTTAGATTTGTAGACTCTGATGTTTTCTGAGGTAATTCAAAATGTCTAAAATGTTGTTGTTGTTGTTGCTGCTGCTGTTGTTTGAAAGAGGAACATGAGATATTGTAATACTGTAAATTGTTGGAACACAGTCAGTGGTGGGATTCAAATATATGTACAACCTGTTCTTTATGTGGATGCTGCTTCCAGAAGTCCATTCTGGGCCTGGGCAACAAAAAATTAGCTACCGGTTCTGCCAAAATGATGCGAACTGGCTGAATCCCACCACTGGACACAGTGGAATAAACATTTACATGAAATCAGTTTGAGCTCTTTTTTTCACGTTTTTAGTGCTGGTTCCTACAAAGTTCTTTAATAATGCATTAACTTTTCCTCTGAAAATAGAATCTCTGGGTATGATTCAAATAAACAGGCAGAAGTGTAAATGAAGAAAGTTCATTATTCCCATTCATTCCTGTACTGTTATCAAATTGCATTTGCCTTATAGTTACAAGAACTGAGGCAGTCATGCATTTCTTCAGTGACTTTATATAGCTACAAACTATTCATTTGGCTAAAAGACTATCCATAGGAGCACAAACTGGTATGCACAAATTTATCATCAACAGGAAGGTATTTGTAGCCTACATAGGAGCTTCGAATTTATAGGAAGAAATCAAGCTAAAAGCATTATGGTTGGTGACACAGCCAGATGTTTAGATGGTATTTGGCATTTTTATCAGTATATCAAATCCTTCCCAAGCACCTGGGATAATCAGATATTGTTGTCTGATGGTGTTAAAGGATTATAATTAGTATTACTGATAACCATACATTGAATATTTCAATGTTATTAATTTTTTGAAAAGGAATTTAACATATGTTATTATGGGAATCATTAAATCTCAAGAATATAATCTAAGTAATAATTGACTTAAGTGTCTAAGAGAATTATTTTATTTGATGTAAAACAGTATTAAAGTCCTGATATTACAGAGGAACATGTAGTTTCTGGTATGCCATTTGGTAAAGTATGTAAGCATAAGTTAAATGTTCATTAACTGTCATTTCAGGGCAATAGAGGCCTTGGCTTTTATGGAAAGAAAGGTGAAAAGGTAAAACAATCTTAACCAACTTGCATTTACTATGGTGGACATAACTTTGTGTAATCTGTGCAAATTGTTTTTGAGATCAGATTACAGTACTAGAAATGCAATCTTTTTAAAATCCCTATGTTCTTCAACCCACCCATTGTGTCGTCAGATTCTTCAGGTTCCCGTGTTCTTCACTTTCACAGAGTTCAAAGAATGTACATCCAGTGTTGTTTAAATTTTCCTTTTACCTCTTATACTTATCTTTGTGGCTTTTCTGAAGGGTGAAATTGGACCTCCTGGTCCACCTGGGCTTCCATCAACAAGAGAATTAACCAGTTCAATAGATGAAATTCTAAGTGAACACAAGGTAATTGAAATATTATTCAAAATTACAGAATATTCATTCCTTTGAAAAATAGAATTGCTCTATCTAGCCTTCCCCACTATAAGTCTTGTCTCTCTTTTGCTACATTGGATTACTGCAGTCTTTTCTATATCCTCACCTTTTGCCATCATTTCGCCACCTTTTCTACCCTCAAGCTGTGCCAATAATATTTTCTTTTCTTTTTCTCTGGGGGTCAATAGCAACTTAAAGAGAGAGGCCTTGTCTTCCATCTGTACCCGCTTTCATATTCACAATCACATCTTAAGCCCATGTGGAAATAAATATGAGTATCTGAGAAGCTGGAGATCAGTGTTTCTGTGGGAATCATTTCTGAAATTACAGATAACTTAAATACAAAAATAAAAAGTCATAGAAGTCTGTATGGCACATTGCAGATATTGCAACTATAAGCAGCCACAGCAAATTTGAGTTGTCTTAAATTATCAATGAATCATTTGATATAATGACTCAAATTCTGCCTTTATTGGCTTGCATTTCAATATTTGACAGTAAGATATAAGTCATAGTCATAAGTAAGATATAAGACAGTAAGATATAAGTGGTTTTTTTTTACATTTTTGCACATTTTTAGCCCTTATAGGAGCTTTTGCCCATCCTTCTCCCCCCAAGCATGGATAACTTTGCACTGAACCCCCCACACACACATCCCACAAAGCATAAAATCAGTCTTCTTCTTTTGTGATTAAATAATCATAATGTCTTTTCAGTCTATGGCAACATTGGGAAGTAACAGTACAGGTAGCCCTCGACTTACAACACTTCGTTTAATGACCATTCAAAATTACAATGGCTCTGAAAAAAGTGACTTATGAGTATTTTCCGCACTTGTGGTCTCCCCATGGTCATGTGATCAAATTTCAGACACTTGACAACTGACTCATACTTTTGACGGTTGCAGTGTGCTGGGGGTCATGTGATCCCCTTTTGTGACCTCCTGACAAGCAAAGACAATGGGGAAGCCAGATTCACTTAACAAATGAGTTACTAATTTAACAACTGCAGTGACTCATTTAACAACTGTGGCAAGAAAAGTAGCAAAATGGAGCAAAACCCATTTAACAAATGTCTCATTCAGCAACAGAAATTTTGTGCTCAATTGTGGTCGCAAGTTGAGGACTACCTATATAACCCCTACAGGAGAACTTAAGGCTCACCTTCTTGAATCAGATCAGTGAAACAGTGTTATGGCCCAGTGATGCTGCTGATTCCTTCCTATATTGCAACCTTGGTGAATTTAAATCATCTCCACATCTCACAGAATCTAACTTAAATGTTTGTAGGTTCCCTCCCAAATTTCTTCTTTTGACTTGCTGTTTTATTAATAGCTATTGTTTTTTTCCTAATCACCTTCTTGTTCTTCTTTGTTTTCCATATAAATTCTAAGTTTACAGTTGGCCTAAGATAGATTTAATGCCTTCTTTACTCCCAATTCATCACGCAGAACTGAAAATGCAGATTTTTGAGTTCTTGAGAACAATCCATCACATCTATGTGTATTCATTCATATATACATTGTGTGTCGGTACGAATAGCTCAACATTCTAGGAAATAGTGCATACGAGTGATTTATTTTAGATGAGGTAGACATCTACCTTTGCTGTTTGTGTCAATTCTAAATAAGAAAAATGGCTAGGATATTGTCAGTATTGTTTGTTGAGCCTCACTCAAGGGGACAAGGGTTTGAAATATTAGTTTCCAGTGGACTATCATCAGCCTAGTCTAACTTAATGATGTTAAGTTGTATTCTTCATCTGGTAGAGCTTCAAATGTAACCTAATTCTTCTTTCCTTTAGCTATTTTCTGTTCCTTTGTTAATATATCTTTGCCAACTGGGTTATTTTTCCTGCAAATTTCTGTCAGTAGATATCTAGGGTCAGCCAACCAGACATTGTTGGTTTTCCTAGGCATCTCTGAGTTTGGACTGCATTTTCACTTAAATCATGCCAGCTACAAAAAAACAAAAACAAAAAAGCAAACACCTTTAACAAACAGTGCAGTGTTAACTCCTACCAATCATAGGCCATCATATTAATTTTTACTAGGAATGGTCACACCACTCAAGACTAAAGTTGATTTAAATGTCATAGGAATAAATAAATCAACTATCTCTATGGGGCAAAAAAAAAATCCAAGAACTTTTTTCTAAATTTAACATAAATTTAGAAAAAAAGTTATTTAATTAAAATAAATAAAATATTCATAGTTAAACCTTGCTGTTATTCAAATGTTGGCCTTACTCTACAGGCAATTTACCTGTATCTCAAGTTGGAAATGTACTCCTGTGAAAATTGCCCCTTAGAATGACTTTATATCATGTGATGAAACAGATCCCTATGTCGTATAGGTGAAACACTCTTATGGTTTCAAAGGAACATTTTGAATGATGTTACTTTATTTCTAAGTAATTTTTGCCTTTCATTTTGTGCTTACCTCTTAGGGTGTGATTCTTCTGTCACAACATGGATAGAAAGTAAAATGTATGGGAAGTAAATTTTTACTCACAAGAGACTATATTTGCAAATAAAGCATTATGTCAGTTTAAGAGCTGGGTTCTATTTTAGAGAAAATAGAATTCAAGCTAAGCCTCAAGTTTCTTTTTTTCAGCCCTTCTGATGAATTTTCATTTATCACCAAAAATTGTCATACACATAATTGAAATGGAAGTATTCTAGCTGCTCTAAATTTAGCAGAGAATAAGAAATATATACCTACTTATTTAATATTATTGTTGTTTTCTATTATTAGGGTATGAAAGGGGAAAAAGGAATGATGGGAGAACCTGGATTTCCAGTAAGTCTACAAGAACCACAATTATTTCTGTGATGAGAAACACCTGCATTATTTCCATAGAAAAGAATAATATATGGATTCATTATTATTTCAGTAATAACAGTTCTTGGGTGATAATATGATAATGTAATATTTTAGTTATAACATTAAAACTAGTCATTTGAATTCAATATTTGTCTTTCAGAATTTAACATATTTAACAAGCATTTAACCATATTAAATGTTTTCTTTCAAAATTTAGACTATTTATAATTCATAACCTATATAACTCTCTTTTTTATTATTTGCCAATAAAAACTCCCATTCCATGATTTATTTTTTTTTTAGCATATTTGAAGATGCATACCATCTGTACAGAAATCAGTCTTCCCAAATAAAGCATACTAGATGCAAACTTTTTGAAATTAGAGAGCATGTCCTGGATGGTGCTACAAAATGGCTTTATGGAAGAGATAATAGATTTATGAAATGGCTGTCATCATCAGTCAAAAAACACAGATGCACAGATTTCGATAATTATTACCAGTAGTTGGTAGTAAAGTAATACAGATAATCATCACCCTCTAGTGGTCATATGGATTTGTGCAGGCCCAAACTGTTCATCTACTTACAAGGAAATAAATTGGGTGGGGTTGCTGTCTGGTACTTGTTCTAGACCTCTACCTTTTCAGGATATGTGAGCAGATTTTTAAACAAATCAACATTATTTTTACCACATTATTTTTTTTGTACACTTCAGTGACGTTCAGCAGCAATTTCATAAATACGGATTGTGGTAGGGAATTGGTGTTTTCTTAATAGAATGACAAATTCGTATTTAATGGATCATACTGTAAAATTGGAAGGAACCATAGATCAATACAGCCAGCTTAGTACAGGATCCACTGGAGTATCATTCACAGATGGTTATCCAGTCTCTGTCTGAAGGCAGGCTACTGAGTTTGAAATAAAACAGCCTGTTCCACTTCAGGCAGGAAGCTGTCCTGGATGTCTAGCTTGAAATTCTTTCCTTATAATTTTAACCCATTCATTCTGACTCTTCCCTCTGGGGTAACAGGGAACATGTCCACTCACACTGTGGGACAACCTCTCAGATTTACTTAAGGGAGATAATGGCAGGTGATGGGAGTGAGGTCCATAGCATATTAGTGCCTGTTGACTTCAGCATGCCTTCTTTTGGAGTAGACATTGCAAAGAATCTATTGAAAATTCAGAATAGACCTGAATGGGTAAAGATGTATTCCTTTATAGATATTGCAATTAATTCAGCATAAAATAGGACAGAATCATTAAGGAAATTGTACAGTCTAACCTAAAAATATTATTTTAAATAAAAGATTCTTTCTGTGAAATTATCACCATTTCTTTGTAAAGTTTCATGGAACAGTGAAATGATTTCACTATCAACCTATTACAGTCTAACAGTTTCTGTATTGTACACTCAAGCTATGTTATATTTGTGGTGATTTTTTAAAAAATAATGAATAGAATTGAATTGAATTGAATGGGACCTTGGAGATCTTCTAGTCAAGCCCCTGATCAAGCAGGAGAACCTATACCGTTTAAGACAGGTGAATGTCTAGTCTCTTCTTAAAAATCTCCAGTGATGGAGCACTCACGATTTCTGGGGGTAAGCTGTTCCACTGCTTAATTGTCCTCACTGTCAGGAAATTTCTCCTTAATTCCAGGTTGCTTCTCTCTTTGATCAGTTTCCAATCACTGTTTCTTGTCCTGCCATCTGGTGCTTTGGTGAACAACCTGACCCCTCTACCTGTGGCAACCCCACTGCTATCATGTCTCCCCTATTTCTTCTTTTCTCTAGACTAGCCAAATCCAAGTCCTGTAGCTGTTCTTCATATGTTTTAGTTTCCAGGTCTTTGATCATCTTAGTTGCTCTTCTCTGAACTTTTTCCAAACTCTCAACATCTTTTTTGTGATATGGTGACCAAAATTGGCTGCAGTTTTTCAGGTGTGGTCTTACTAGGGTTTGATAAAGTGGTAGTAATACTTCATGTGATCTTGATTCTATGCCTCTGTTTATACAACCCAGGATTGTATTAGCTTTTTGGGCTGCTGCTGCACACTGCTGGCTCATAGTGAAGTGATCGTCCACTAGGATTCCAAGTTACTGTTTTTAAGCCAGGTCTCGACCAGTCTATATTTGTACCTTTGGTTTTTCCTGCCTAAATGTAAGACTTTGCTTTTCTCCACATTGAAACTCATTCTGTTGGATAGGACCCATTGTTCAAGTTTGTTAAGATCTTTTTGGATCCTGAGTTTGTCTTCTGGGGTGTTGGCTGCTCCTGTCAGTTTGGTGTCATCTACAAATTTGATGAGTTTCCCTTCAATTCCCTCATCTAAGTCATTTATGAAGATATTGAAAAGTACTGGGCAATAAGACGGAGCCTAGTGGTACCCCACTGCTTACTTCTCTCCATGTGGATGTAGTACCATTGAGGACTACTCGTTGAGTATAGTTTGTCAGCCAGCTACAGATCCATCTGGTGGTGATGTTGTCTATTCCACCTTTTCCTAGCTTACCAAGGAGTAGGTTGTGGTGCACTTTATCAAGTGCCTTACTGACCTCTAAGTATACTACATCCACTGCATTTCACTGGTCTACTAGTTTAGTCACTTTATTGAAGAATGAAAAAAGATGGTTTGGCATGATTTGTTTTTAACAAACCTCTCCTGGCCACTAGTTATGACTTTGAAATGAAATGATATTGTAGTATCAATTTATTTAATTGTGAATTTTTTTAAAAAAAAAAAGTTTTCTAAGGAACCATGGCTTCTGATACTCTCTTCAGAGCTATGGCATCCTCCATTGTACAACAACAATTACATTATAATTGATGGTGAATGATGATATAATTAGAAGTGTGCTGTCTTTGAGGAAAGACGGAATAAAGAAGAAAAAGCCCTTCCATCTTGTAACAGAAACAGTTATATGAAAAATCAACACACTTTATTATTAATCTTTATTTTTATTTTTTAATTTATTTTTATAAATAAATTCTATTTTTTATTTTTATTTATTTTAAAATTACTTTTTTATTTTTATTTTAACTTAATCTTTCATATTTAACAATAATAATAATTTAAAATTATATTTTAATATAAAATAATTGTATTAAATTTATAATTCAAAATAATTAAAATTATAATATAAAATAATATTTAAAAATAACATTTAATAATAATTTTGATTTAATAAAAATATTTAAATTATTTTAAAATTACTTTGTTTTAATTATTAATTAAATTAATTATTAATTTATTAATTAAAAATCAAGACACTATTATTAATCCTGCACCTGTAGTCATCAAAAAAGAGTAAAATGAGGTGAACATACAAAGAGGAAACCTTTGCGAACAGAAATGACAAACAAATACAAATTATAGAAGAATTGGGGACTGGCAGAGAATTGTTCATAAAAATACTGTGCAACTCTTGTATTATTGTATTTAATTCTACTAACCACAGAAGAGTGCATCAAAGGAACTAAAAAATCTATTTGAGTTGCTTCTCAGAATGTGTTTATTTTCTGAGATCTGGAATTATTTTACTAAAGGTACAGAAAGGTTGATCTTACTGTAAATTCTTCTGATTTGCATTTCTTAGGACAAAACTAGTTATGAAGGACAAACACATATGTTCCAAGCAGATTCTTGCATGTAAAGCATAAAGTGTGTCCATAACTATGCCAAGATGGACACATTGGATTCTCTGGTGTACTTGCAGCCGGATAGCCCTTAAGTTAGCTTCCCTTTTCTCTACCCCACTGACTATTTTATTTCCTACCTGTCCTTCACCATCTTCTCCTCCCTTGTTTTGCTTTCTCTCTTGCCTTTCCCACCCCTTTTCCCCTCCTCTCTCTCTTTCTTCCACTTTCTCCCCACCCTTCCCATCCCTTCTCCTCCAACCTTTTTCCCAAAGAAATCAGGAGACATCTTTGTGCTTTAAGAGAAGTGAATACGGTATTGATGGTCCCTCAATTAAACAACAAAATTTTGTCCATTTTTGGAATACTAAACATCCCCCTTTCTTGACTTGTTTGTTCCAAAAAGTGGTGATGTGTAGAAGCCTCCACTGCCCTCTGTACTATTTTTCTTCTCCCTCCTTAGTGTCTTCTGTTCCTTTTCCTGCAATTATATCTGGAGTTGGATAATTATCTTTGAAAATATCTGTCCAGGCTGTTAAAGCACTACCTACTAGAAATCAAATAAACTGCTGTGTCTTTTTCCTGCTGCTGTAAGAGGGAGCATCTGTAAGTTGGGGAAAAGTAAACTATAGCAGCTTTGAGTGTATTCATTCAATTTGATGTGAAGTTTACATGTATTAAAAAGTTAAAGAGTCATAAATGCATGAAAACATAAAAATCATCTCATAATACTTTTGAATCTTGTAATTGCCCATTTATGGAGGATAGCACAAATATGTGCACCCCTTAAACTGATGGAAAGTCCGCACCTTTGTTTTATCTATACCAAGCTGAATTTAGAAAACAAATACAGCTTATTCCCTTCATATGCTTGAGTGAATCATAAACTTGACTCTATATAAAATGAGAGTCCCTCAGTTCAAACTGGCATTTTATTAATTGCATCCATTCAGTTGCCTTGACAATATTACAGAATCATTTGCCATTAACTTCTTCTGGGTGTTTTTCAACAGCCCCATCAAGCCTACAGCTCTGGGTAGTTCCTTGTCCAAATAATAGTCAGGGCTGTTCCTTCTTAGCTTCTGAGGTTGTCTATATGCTGCCACTTGATGAAACCTTTGTAGAAGCAGTGCACCTGCATTATAGATGCATGTGATATGGGAAAACTCATGCTTAGAAAGTTAGAACTGAAGGAGCTTCTTGGATGAGAAGCAAAATGTTTTCAGAGGAAAAAAAGAAAGAAAGTCCAATTGTCTTTTGGAAAAAAAAAAGCATCTTTGGGATATGCTTAGAAATATTTATGGCTGTCCTGCAAAATGACTATTACTACTAGTTCATGACTATACCCTCTGTATTATTATAATGATCCATGAAGTTGTGTGTTATTGTGTCCTAAATTACATATTATTATGCTTCAATTGTGCAAAAAAAAATTCCCACAGGGTTTTCCTGCACAAAGAGCAGAAAAGGGAGAAGAAGGAATAACTGGCTTTCCAGGACAAAGAGTAAGCATATAACAAAACCAAACATTAATTATGTTTTGCCTAATTATTTCCTTCTATACTGAGAAAATGCAACAGTTTTCAGTGGTATTTCTGGTACAGGTGGTCCTTTTTTAACTACCACAATTGTGACTGGCAACTCAGTTGTTAAGTGAAATAGTCACTGTGTCTGTGCTTATGGTTTTACATTGGACAGTGCCTGATTGTAGTGCCAAATACAGGATGAGAGAGAGAGAGAAAGAGAGAGGGAGGGAGGGAGGGAGGGAGGGAGGGAGAGAGAGGGAGAGAAAGAGAGAAAGAGTGATGCTATCTGGGCATTGGTCACAAAATTATTTTGTCAGCATCATCATAACTACAGAGGTTGCAGTCTGAAGCAGGCACTAAGTAAGGACCACTTACCCTATTCATATTTTGGGTGGGTTTTCTTGCTGTTTTGTACATGTTCTGAGAGTCTGTTCTGAGAGTTCCAAGAATCATATTTATCGTCAGAAAGGAATATCCTCAAGTGAAATTGATAAGGAGCTTTGATTATTTCTCCTTTTCTAGTACTGTGTCTTATTCAAACCACTTAATTTCCTGGGTAAAGGAAGCATTTGTAGCCCAGACCTTTGTTGGAGGCATACTGTAGTCTTCATCATGTGAAACTTAGCCAAGATGTACAGTATTTTAGTGAGTGTTTAAACCTCTGGTAGATGAAAGTGAGGGAGCTGGATGCTGGGAAGTTGAGCAGACAGTGGTCTGAAGAATCAAGATAGTCTTTCTTGGACTTTTTGTGACTAAATGGAAATATTTGTGAGGTTTTCTTGAAAACCATACAATGGTTTGCCATTGTGTCTTCTGGTTTTGTTTATTTATTTGTGAGTGTAAACTCTGTAGTCAGTGCCAGATGTTTGGCGGTAAAAGGTGGAATGGCCAGTTTAAACACTAAAAACTAAGGCATCTGTCATTTCAGTCTCCTTTGTTCATTGCCATAGTCATCAAAAATATCAGACTGATGGTCACTTTTAACTTTTGGGGGCTCATAGATATTTGAAATATATCCCAGTATCCCTCATAATGTAGTTAGAATAAAATAAGCAGATATGATTGATATAACCAATCCTATTTAATGTTCTTTTCTTTTAAAATCTAGTTGGGATAATTTAGCTTAATTCACAGTTGAGTGAAATTGGATCTCCAGTACTGTATACCCAGAAATTCCCATTTTCTGGGTATACACATGTGGGCATAAATATGCATAGGATATATGTACAAAAATTATGTCAAAACGCCCAATGAATTTCCAATATTTTACCTGATAGTGATGGACTAGTTTTTGGTGAGTATAGTCTATTCACATGTAATGTAGCCCACAAAGATACGCATTCAGATGATAGCCAAGAAATATTGGAAAGTTACATTTCATTCTTCATATTATACAATATATGAAATTGGGCCTTTTAAATCTTATTCTTCATAAAGTTTAATTTCAATAAAACCTATTTTAAAGGAATTGATAATAAATATTTCATAACATTCTGTTTGTTAATGTTTATAGGGTTTGCCAGGAATCAATGGTCTAAAAGGAGCTAAAGGGGATGTGGTAAGTATGAAGTCCCAGAATCAGGTTGCTTTTTAGAAAGAAAAATAACCTAAGGCAGTGATGGTGAACCTTTTAGAGACCAAATGCCCAAACTGCAACCCAAAACCCACTTATTTATCATAAAGTGCCAACAGGGCAATTTAACCTGAATACTGAGGTTTTAGTTTAGAAAAAAACAACTCATACATTAACATCTTTTGTCTTAAAAGAAAAACACAATAACAAAGGTTTCAATGATACAAACAACTTTTTATTGAAAGATAAAGGTTTGCATTTGGCATGCTTTTGAACAATTAATGTGATTTTTGCTGTTGTATACACGCTGATAATTTGTCTAACCTTGGCTCATACTTTGTAAGTTTGAGAGCAACACATGCAGCACTCAGTTCATCTGTTAGTCTGTTTCTGGTGTCAGATTTGATATAATTCAAAGCTGCTCACAAGCATAAGATGATCCAAAGTAAGGAAAGCAATCCCAAGTGCTTTCATTGACTTAATATTATTTGGCAGAGAATTCCACACTTTAAGGATTTCATTTTCAGAACTAACTGTGCTGTCTTTTGTCATCCTTGTTTTCGCAGGATTGCTCTCAATAAGAGTGAGGTGCACTTTGGCTCCGTTTTCGCCAGGAAGGAGCTTGGGAAATGGCTTTTTCCTGGTGAAAACAAGCCTCCGAGCCCTGATGCTGGTGGAGTGAGACAGCAGAGGCCAAAGCAGACTCTTTCCCATCTCCCCTCACTTCCCCAAAGCCTCCCTTCACTAACCTCCTTTCCAGCTCTGTTCTCTGCCACCACTGTTCTTCTCTTCTTGTGGGACTATAGATTAAAAAAAAAGTTCAACCAGACTTCCCAACTTTGCGAGATCTTTTTTTTTCGCGAGAAGTTGGAAGTTCAGATTGATCTCTTTTTTTAGTCCCACAAACTTCTTTTGTTGCCATACACACGAAGAGTGGAGTTGAAAAGGAGGTTAGTGAAGGAATGTGGTTGCCCTGGGGTGGGGGTTAGGATTTGGCATTGTGGATGCCCTGGGTGTGGTGGGTGGTAGGGTTTGGCATTGTGGATTGTGGAGTGTTTGTGCTCTGGTGGGGCTATTCAAAATGCAGGGATTCCCTGCTTTTTGAAGCACCCTATGTGACTGCACAGAATGAGCGCTCCGTTTCTCAAGCGCCCCATTCCAGGCATACAGAGCTTGCAGTCTTTTAGCTCTTATAGAGCGCTTCCAAACGTAGCCAGTTCCTGCATTTGGAAGCACTCCATAGGTGTGGAAATAATTTTTTATCCCAACGGAGATCTGACAGAAGGCTCTGTTTCTCAAGCGCCCCATTTTTTTTATCCCAATGGACATCTGGCAGAAGACTCAGTTTCTCAAGCGCCCCATTCCAGGCATAGTGCAAGTTCTGTATGCCTGGAATGGGGCGCTTGAGAAATGGAGCCTTCTGTCAGATCTCCATTGAGATAAAAAAATATTTTGGCACCTATGGAGCACTTCCAAATGCAGGGATTGGCTATGTTTGAAAGCACTCTATAGGAGCTAAAAGACTTTATCTCAACAAAGATCTAGCAAAGACTGCAAGCTTTTGGGCTAAGTTTTCACAGAAAAAAGCCATTTCTCAAGCCCCCTTCCTAGCAAAAACTAGCCTCCAGAATGAGCATGCCTCGCTCTTCTTAAGAGCAATCCTGTGAAAACTTAGCCAAAGAGCGAGGCGTGCATACCCACAGAGAGGGCTCTGAGTGCCCCCTCTGGCACGTGTGCCATAGGTTCGCCACCACTGACCTAAGGACATTTTAAAAGGAAAATCACCTCTTTCTCCTTATATTCACCCTGAACTGAGAAATGCCTCTTACAAAGAGAACTGATGGAAAAAAGGAAGATCAGCCCCAAATGAGTAGCAAATAAGATCAGTAAAAAGACTAGTATCAGAGGAGGCATATCCAAAAAAGACAACAAAAGCAGCTAACAAATAGAGGGAGGAGGGATCACATAGTAAATTGAGATTAGAGTTTTTTTAAAAATAGTAAGTCTTACCAAACAAAAGAATGAAGAAAAAAAGTATGTTGAGCTTACTTTTCAATTTCATCAGTTATTTTAAAGTAGGGATAGGGGTAGTATATTCCCTGGACCAACTATGTCTTCATCTCACCAAGCCCACCTACCTGGCCCTACTCAGTTTTGGCTCTGAGCACTCTCATTGATGTAATGCAGATTAAGGAACTGATGAAGCAGGCATGTGGAATTCAGTGAAAAGAAATCTTGCCATTCTTTTCAATGTTTGTTTCAGGGTATGCCAGGAAATTATGGAATCCAGGGCATTCCTGGCCAGAAAGGAATGAAGGTAATTATTCATTTGTTCAACATTATAGTTAAACCATCAGTTAATTACAAATCATTATAGGCAGGTTACAAAAAATATATAAAACAATACAATTGTTTGGTTTCCATATACAAAAACCTTACTGACTGAGATAAATTATTTATACAGACTGATCCATTTCAAGTTGAAGTTGTTTGTTTAATATCACCCCAAGCATCATTTGCACAAAATCTAAGCTTGCCATTTTACAATTTCCCCTTGGGTGGTTGCCCCACTCCATGCTTCCTTCCTTGTAATATGCCAGCCATTGTCCTCTTTCACACATACAAGAAAGGATTATCCACATCTGTTGCTAGTTTTCTTTGCTCTTACTGGCAATAGTGGCCTTCAGCCGGGCATGTGAATGATTGTCTGCTGAGAGTTACAAAGCAATTATTATTCAAGGTCAAATCAATTGAACAGCATAAGATATGGCAAAATGCCAAATGTCCTGGTTGTCCATGCTTGAAAGTCTGAACAGACCCTGAATAAGTGTGTTGGGTATGAAGGCTCATTAAATACACACATGAGTATGCCAGAATATCTGGTGTAGGAGTTACCCAATGATAAGATGGGTGGTCAATAAGTTTAATAAATAAATAAAGTATTATTTGCTTAATATTATGTATGCTCTTGTGTTTTTCCTCACTCCCATTTTTAGCCTTTCTTCAAGCATTTTTGCTTAATTTGATTGTGCTTTCTATTTCCTCCTTTATGGCCTTGCTTGCAAAAAATACATATTTATTATTAAGGAAAGGACTTAATGGAAGGACTTAAATAATGGCCAATTGCAGCTGTTGTTTCTCTACTTATAAACTAAGATTTGTAAGACTAAAACCTGGATAATGTTGGAGTGGCCAAGCAAGAAGGAATTGGCAAAATTGCCATGCCAATGAACCATTCTGCCAAAAATGAGTTGGGAACGGTTGTCATTGTGATGATGGGTGAAGATAAGAAACTGGTAAAGCAGTGTAATATAAGTAGTGATCATTTATTAGGGGGTATTTTAGTTATGAAGAGTAAAAAATAAAGAAATATTACAGTAACTGATAAGAACAAAATGCAGTCTTAGGGAAATTACTGGGTCTGTGGCAGTGAAGGTTCTTCATGCCTTACTTTCTCATTGATAATGAAATTATTTGATTTTCAAGTATGTACTAAATTGACTTAACTAAATTTGGATTTCTATAGGGTGAATCTGGGGATAAAGGAATTCGAGGGCCACCAGGTCACGCACAACATCCCACCCTTATAAAAGGTGCTGCTTTTACAGCTTTTGAATATTGTTATGTGTCTTAGCAGTTGTTTGAGAAAGTGTTAAAATATTTTAATGTCAGATAAACTGGAGTTATCCTTATGTGGCTGAGGTTTAAACTATAAATTTGTGGGTTTTCCAGGTGTACCTGGTGACCGGGGACTGGATGGCATTCCAGGGCCTGAGGGAGAGAGAGGAGCCAAAGGCAGTCCTGGCCCACCTGGTACCGAAGGATCATTTGATGGTAATTTTCTACCCCTTTGATATAGCGCATTGATTCTGGAGAAATATATTCACTTTTCTCCAGTATATAATAAATGAGCTTTTCTTTGTAATGTCATTATAATTGCTTCTTTCAGATTCCTAAATCCTAATATGGCTTGGCTGATTTCCTTGGATCTCTGCAGCTGTTTATACTATCCAGGCATATTTTCATAACAAATGCTTCTTTTTCACTGCTTTGAATAGATTGTATGTGGACTGTGCTGTTTTGAAGATAAAGATTAGTTAGAGTAATCAGAGGTCTTGGTGAGAACCCACTAAGCCTTCAGCTCTTGTAGCTCTTTTCAGCAGTGCGACTCTACCATCATCTTCACCATCCATAATGTTAAAGTTTAATGTATGAAATCTGTGACAGAGGGTTCTTCAACATGCTGGGGATGGGGGAAAAAGGGGAATCCAACTTGAGCAATTCTTAGTTTTATAACTATAATGAAATAAGATTTATTTACAAGAAATATTTTAAAGAGATAGTTGAAGCCTAATGTTTAATTAGCAATATCCTGTAAGAAAGTGAGTCAGCAATCGTGTACCTTCCGGCGCCACAATGTCCATCATTCTGTCTATTGCTCTGGCCATCAGCTCTCTCTGGTTACTTGCACGTGTGCCTCTGCTCCCCCCATCTCAGTTTGCCTTTGCCGCTGTGTGGCACATCTGCCCCCCCCCCCCGTCACTGGCTCTCTAACTCGCCTGGATCAGCTCACCTCTGCCATTACCTGGCAGATCACCTAGCCCCCCCCCCCCGCCTTGCCTATGGCTTGTTTCCTTGACTGACATGGTCAGACTCTGCCACCTCTTGGTTTGTCCAGTCTGGAAACAAAAGCCTCAGATTAGCAATCTCTTAGACGAAAACAGACAGTTGAAGAAGGGACAGTAAATATATCCTTTATCTCCTGCTACCCTTTGTGGTCAAAAATTCATGAGGTACTAAAAAGCCATTACCATTGAATTTGCACTTATAATACAACTCATAATAAGATCTGTATCTTTAATCTAAGTGGTTCACTTCAAATATTTAAAGACTTTTATGTGTATCTGATTTTTTAAACAACTTTTAGCAACACTAACAGAACAACAGAGTTGGAAGGGATCTTAGAGATCTTCTAGTCCAACCCCCTTCTCAAGCAGGAGATCCTACACCATTTCGTAAAAATGATGGTTCAATCTCTTTTAAAAGCCTCCAGTGATGGAGCACTCACAACTTCTGAAGGCAAGCTGAGAACAGTGATTACATTAAGTGGTGTGGAGACACTCCTTTGAAGGACTGGTATTTCTAAGCTTTAGATACTGTAAAAATCTGGTATCACTGGACAACAAAATTTTGCTTCCTGAAGACTTTTGGGTGTATCTTATAGATTTTGGTTGCTAAACCTTAATCTATCATGTACCGCTTTATAGAAAACTTCTGTTTTTGCAATTTCTTATGTATATTTTAAGTTAACTAATTTCCGCTTGCATTATAAGATGCTTCGTGTAGCTCATGCATGTCCAGACATGTACTCAGGGCATATTGCACAATATCTGTGAAACTGGTACAGTTTGCACCTGCCTAGGCATGCTTAGGCTGTATGGATGCTGCCTGGAAAGTCTATTAAAGCAACTCGCATGCACAGATGCTATTCATTTTGTTGGTATCAATTTCCATGAATTTTGATGTAATTGTTTCAAGGCATAACATGTAATTTACATAACAAGTAAACCAATTACAAACTTGCTATAAGATGACAGCATAAATATCTCATCAATGTTGGAACAGCCTTGATATATTCCACTATATTTGTTGGTGAATATGAGCTTAAGCCTCAAAGACGCACCCTGACTACGCTTGTTAAGAAAGCATAGGAACTGTACTTTGGTTGTAAGATTGGTGACCAAGATAAAGCCTGGGTTCCTCACATTTGTTGTACAAAAATGTGCTGTTGATCTTAGAACTTGGCTCAGGGGAACTCAGAAGTTAATGCTGTTTGCTGTTTCAAGCATATAGTGAGAACAGAATGATCCTGTGACAACTATTTCTGTCTGACTAATGTTGCTGGTTTCTCTGCTAAAATATGAAATCAATTAAATATCCCAATCTGCCTTCAGCCATGAGACCAGTGTCACACGAAAGCAATATTTCAGTACTGAAGCCACCAGAGAAATGGAACTTAGATGAAAAAGACAAAGATGCTGCAGTGTACCAGCCAGGCATGGACAGTGACCCTGATCCAGATTTTGAATTGTGTATGTCTGGTGAGCCACATCTCATAACACAGTCAGAATTAAATGATCTGATCAGGGACTTAGGACTGTCAAAATCAAAAGCAGAACTACTGAGTTCAAGACTACAAGAATGGTGTTTGATATCAATAGGTAAGAAAATTTATGTCTTTTAAAGCTACCAAGATGATTTAACAAATTTTTAGCACAGGTTGACAGCCTCATTTTCTGTACTGACATTGACAGTTTGTTCCCAACTTTGGATTGTGAGCATGACTACTAGAGTGGTGTCTGTTTATTGATTCATCAGTGTTAAGCCTCAAGGCTATCATCTTACACAATGGCCATTTATATCCTTCACTATGCTGCGCACATGAAAGAAGCATAGAAAAATATGGAACTGTTATGAAGTACATCCAGTACAACTGGAATATCAATGGTGATCTAAAAGTAGTGGCTCTGCTGCTTGAAATGCAGCTCGGATATACCAAGTATCTTTGTTTCGTATACAAATGAGGCAGCTGTACAAGAGAGTCACATTACATTAAAAAGAAATGGTAATTCTGAAAGAATTTGGTTCCAAGAGGGAAAGATGTAGCACATGAACCACTTGTTGACCTGACAAATATATTTTTGTCTCCTTCATACATTAAAATCAGACTGATGAAAAATTTTCTGAAGGTTTTTGATATTTGAGATAAATATTTCCAAGAATAACTGATGCTAAAATTAAGGAAAGCTTTTTTGTTGGTACATTGAGCAGTTCACATATCAGTTAGTGGAGCCAGGAAAATCATCTGGAAAGCATTCAGGGATATCAGTGAAAATTTTCTGAACCAAATTACAATCAGCTGATTGACAAATTTCTTACAGCATACGAAACCATGAAGTAAAGGGGAAAAAAGGACCATGAAGAAAAAAGGTATATGTTGGTGATAGGAGACTTCTTAAAGGAACAGAATGGGTAATTTGTAGAAGAGATTAATTATAAAGGATAGTATGTTGTCTCCCAGGTTCAAAGATCAAATATGTGACAAGCTTACCAAAATAAGCTCACTGATTATTATCCTTTTCTTCTTTCATTTGGGAAGAATGATACAACAAAAACCTGAAAACAATATCAAGGGACTATGAGCAGTTAGGCTGGAAAGCCAAAGCGATAGGAGCACAGGTGGTGTTCTTCTGCATTTCTGAAAGAAAGTCAACATCCAATGAGGGAACAGGATTCTAGAAGTAAATCACGGCTCAAGGGATGGTGCCATTGAGAGAACTTTGGATTCCTAGACCATGGTTTACATTAGTTACAGGAAGGTCTCACAAAATAGCAAAAATGTTTAAAAACATGTCAGATAGATGTTGGAAATGTAAACACAAGTCAGGTACTTATTACCATGTTTGGTGGACATGTGCCAAAGCAAAGAGTTATTGGGAAAAAAATGCATACGTAGCTAGAAAAGATGTTGGGAAAAGATGTAGATTTTAAATCTGAACTTTTTTTAATTAGGTATAATGCCAGAAAAGACTGGTAAACAAAGCATATATTTGATTTTACATGTAATAACAGCGGTAAGAATTATATTCGCACAATATTGGAAAAATGAAGGAATACCATCAGATGAAGAAATAATTAAAAAAATACTAGAATGTGCAGAGATGGACAGACTGACTTTGATGTTGAAAAAAAAGAAGAAACAGAATATTATCAAACTTGGGACTTATTTTATCAATGGCTAGAGAAAAGAATAAAGGATTAGGAATTAAGTCTTTATTAATGAATGTAAAACTTAGACAACATGTTTATTGAACAAGTACTATTGAATGCATCAAAAATCAATAAAAATCTTATTTAAAAAAGGGAAGAGCTCACAAGAACTGGGAAGAATGTTTAGAAAACAATTGATTCGGCTTATCCAAAGACCTTTAAACTAAAATTGGAAGGAAATGGAGATCATCTTTAGGGTCTAACTCCAAGCATAAACTCCAAGTCAGTCAATCAGACAATGAAGAAGGGAGTGATGAGAAGAAAGGAGAACTCAGGTATAAAACAGGAGATAAGGGAAGCAAATACAAGATCAGTCAAAAAGGAATGAGCTGATTATATACTAATGTTCAAAGTATGAGGAATAAACAAGGTGAACTTTTGAAGTCTTAGTACAAGAGGGCAGGTACAATATTGTTGCCATTATTGAAAGTTGAAGAGATGGAACACATGATTAGAATGTACTGCTAGAAGGATATAAATAGTTCAAAAGAAATAGATCTAACAAAAGAGGAGGTGGAGTTTCATTGTAAATTAAGGAATCACTGCACCTCTTCAGAAATGCACTGCACTAAAGATGAAAGCCTTCTTGAATGCATTTGGGTTAATATAAAAGGGAAAAAAAGAATACTGTCATAGATGTATACTACAGGCCACCCAACCAAGCACAGGAAACAAATGTGTCAACGCTGCTAACATTGGATGTTCTTGCTCTGACAAAATATGCAGAGCTGTATGGTATTTTTAGAGTTAACTCAGATGATGCTGGGAGGGGAGGAGAAAGAATGTATATGGGTAATTATATTAGATAAAATCCCAACTGCAAACAGAAGAGAACCTTTGGCTTTCAAACTGATAGGAGAACGTGATTTATGACAGCAAATTAAGGGAGGGAACATGCTGGCAAAATATGTGCTCAGCTCAGGGGAGGAGAATTTAGATCTTAGCATCCCTCATTCATGCTGTGCTGACATTTTGTTACATGAATAAAAGACTTTTTAGGATAA